AAACCAACGTGTTTTTATTGATATTAGAGAGAAACATTCATGTGAAAGAGAAACAATGATCAGTTGCCTCTCTTATACATCCATGCTGAACTTGGATGTGACCTAATTGGGAATCAAACTGATGACCCTTTGGTGTATGTAAGGATGCTCAACCAACGAAGCCTCACCAGTCAGGTCAGATTTTGTTTATTGTTGAGAACATCCTAGAACATTCTCCTTTTATTGGTGATCTTTCTCCCAAAATCAAATCTCCTGCTGAATACCACCTTTGATTCAATCAATGGGTCAAGGCATTATAGCAGCTTTTAAGACTTATCACCTGGAGGAGAACCTTTGCCCAGGCTTTCGCTGCAGCTGAGGAAGACACTGATGCATTTCTGGAAGGATGATAACATCTATGACTGCAACAAGAACCTTGCTCAAGCTTGGGGTGGTGTCACCAAGGAGTGTATGATTGACATCTGGAAGCAGACAACTTTAACCTGAGTGTGGATAAGGATGACATTGAGGAACTCCTAGAGGTGGTTTCTGAGCAATTGGCTAATAAAAATCTGTTAGAACGAGAATAGGAATGCATAGTTGAAGTGGCAGGAGAAGAAAAATAAGAGCCACCAAGAAAATTTACAGTGAAGAGTTTAGCAAAAGCTTTTTTAGACCTTCATAAGTCCTCAAAAAGTTTAAAACATGGACTCCAACACTGCAAGGTTTTCATTCATCAGCATATTTATGATGCATTAGCTGGTTAGAAGCAAATCTGATGGAAAAAATAAGCAAACCAAGCAAATGCCCATGGACATATTTCTAAAAAGAGTGACACATCCTCAAGAAGAGCCTGAGGCAGGTCCTCCAGGAGGTATTTTATTTTTTAATTTAAAAAAAAATTTATTTATTTATTTATTTATTTATTTATTTATTTATTTATTTATTTTTCAGGAGGTATTTTAGAAGGCAGCACTGTTATCATAGGGGATGACAGCTCCATGGATGTTATTTATTTCTCTGGAAGACCTTGTAGTGGGACAAGATGTGGATGTGGAAGACAGATGTTGATGCTCCTGATGATACTATGTAGGCCTAGGCTAATGTGTGTTTTTTAGAACAACAATCTTTTATTTTTTTTTTATTTATTATTTTTTTTTTTTATTACATCAGGAATTTATTAAGGGATGTAGCACAAAGCAACCCATGCTGCAGGGCAGGATGGATAAGGAACCAGCCCCACAATAAGGGGCGGGCAAACCAGCAGTCCTCGGAGCGTGGAGGGGATTTAAGTAGAACAGTCCAGTCACCTTCACAAACTTGTCTTTAGCTTCCTTCTTACTGTAGCGCTCTCCCAACCCTGTAGACCCTTAATTACAGATGAAGACACTTTCCTGGTAACAGACCTTATTCCAAAGCACAGGAGCAGCACCGGCTGGGATCCGCAGTGATGTCATTATCAGACGCTGCCAGGAAACGGGGAGGCAATCTACAAGAAAAAGGTGTGAAAGCTCTAAATCAAAATTGATTCAGCACATCCACCTGCACGGACCCAAGCCCAGGTGCGGAGATATAGGAAAGGCGAGTGGCCGCTGCAGGTACGATGCTCACCTGCGCTGTCAAAGTCTCTCCGGGTTGCTCTCGCATGCAGTTGGAGATATTTTTTTATTTTTTATTTTTATTTTTTTATTGCCAAAACCGGTTTGGCTCAGTGGATAGAGCATTGGTCTGGGGACTGAAAGGTCCCAGGTTCGATTCTGGTCAAGGGCATGTACCTTAGCTGCAGGCACATCCCCAGTAGAGGGTGTGCAAGAGGCAGCTGATCTGTGATTCTCTCTCATCGATGTTTTTCACTCTCTATTCCTCTCTCTTCTTCTCTGTAAAAAAAATAAATAAAATATATTAGTTGATTCTTTTTAAAAAAAATATATTTTATTAATTTTTTACAGAGAGGAAGAGAGAGGAATAGAGAGGTAGAAACATCCATAAGAAAGAATCATCAATCAGCTGCCTCTTGCACACCCCCTACTGGGGATGTGCCCACAACCAAGGTACATGCCCTTGACCGGAATTGAACCCGGGACCCTTCAGTCCCCAAGCCGACGGTCTATCCATTGAGCCAAACCGGTCTCGGCCATTAATTGATTCTTATATGTACCTAGACTGGGCATCAAACCTGCAATCTTGGTATATCGGGTGACACTCAAATGAGCTCCCTGGCCAGGGCTTGTGTCTCAGTTTTTGTGTTTTGTTTTTGTTTTAAATATATTTTATTGATTTTTTATAGAGAGGAAGAGAGAGGGATAGATAGAAACATCTATGAGAGAAACATGGATCAGCTGCCTCTTGCACATCCCCTACTGGGTATGTGCCCATAAGCAAGGCACATGCCCTTGACCGAAATCGAACCTTTCAGTCAGGAGGCGGATGCTCCATCCACTGAGCCAAACCGGTTTCGTCGCATTATCAGTCTTTTAAAAGCAATTGTTAACTTAAAAAAAAAAAAAAAATATATATATATATATATATATATATATATATATATATATATATATATTATTGTTTTTTTACAGAGAGGAAGGGAGAGGAATAGAGAGCCAGAAACAAGGATGAGAGAGACATCGACCAGCTGCCTCCTGCACACCCCCCACTGGGGATGTGCCCACAGCCAATGTACATGCCCTTGACTGGAATCAAACCTGGGACCCTTCAGTCCGCAGACCAATGCTCTATCCACTGAGTCAAACCGGTTTCGGCGCATTATCAGTCTTTTAAAAGTGATTGTTGACTTTTAATCTTCCAAATGAATGTTCATTTTATCTTCATAGAAATGGTGAGCTCTGCGTTGGCCTGCGGACTGAAGGGTCCCAGGTTTGATTCCAGTCACTGGCATGTACCTTGGTTGCGGGCACATCCCCAGTAGGGAGTGTGCAAGAGGCAGCTGATTGATGTTTCTCTCTCATCGATGTTTCTAACTCTCTATCCCTATCTCTTCCTCTCTGTAAAAAATCAATAAAATGTATTAAAAAAAAAAAAAAAGAAATGGTGAGGGGCAGAGATAGTTATTGGGATGTCAAGGCGAAGTGTGTCAACCTCGAGGATGTACAGCCTCTGATAAGAGCAGAGGAGACTGGAATCCAAGCACAGCCCAGCAAGAGCCTAGAGATTCTCAAGGAATTCCAGATTCTTGCTAAAACAGATTCCTGCATTCAGGCCATTGTGAGGCAAGAGAGAACTAGAACAACAGGCTAAAACACAAAAAGGAGCTGACCCACTTCTGACCCATTCACTGTGTGTATATCTCTAAAGGGAACAGGCCTGACCAAGTGAGATGAGGCTGCCTTTCCCAAGGTGGCATTAGGGGTTAGTGGCCGTGCTGATCTGTGATGGCGAAGGATCCTCTCTCCATCTGGTCGCTGGTCTCTGGTTCAACTTGGAAAACAAACCCAAATCTCTTTGGAAGAACTTCAGATGGGCCAGCAGAGCTCCCTGAAGGTATGAGGCCTGAAGCTTGAAGGGACCTGCAGGTAACTGGGCATTGCAGCCTGAGTCTGGTCAGCCACAAGAAAGCATTCCTGCTTCCTTGCAGGGTGTTTTTTTTGTTTTGTCTGAGGGATGTAGAGACTGGCCTCAAGTTCCTATAGGATCTTCTGACAATGCAGACCAGGATGATCCTGAAGAAGCCTTCTTGCCTGGTGACCAATGCCAGCCCTACCTGGACTGAGAAGCCAATGGCCACTTTCTTCTCTATGGTTCAGAATTTGACCCAATCTGCCCTGACGGAGATATAACCCGGGCCCCCAGAGGGAGGCAGGCAGGCAGTGGCCATCCCCTATTCCAGCCCTCAGTTTAGGACTGCATTGGAAATGTAAGAAACATAAATTATGGGGTGAAGCCTAATTTTAAAAATGCTTTTTGATTTTATTTACTTAATTTATTGAGAGAAACATCCGCACGTCCCCTACTGGGGATCAAGCCCGAAACCCGGCCATGTGATGCCCTGACCGGAATCCAACCCGTGACCTCTGGGTGCATGGGACGAAGCTCAACCAACTGTGCCACACCGGCCAGGGCGGAGTGAGGACTATTTCACAAAACACAAAAGACCATGTGGCCGACAAGTCCAGGGGCTCTAAAGGGAGGCGAGGTGACAGAGGGGCTGTTACCGGTTAGGGCTGAGGAGAAGGTAGGCGGGGGCGGGGGCTCGCGGGGTGAGGGCTCCTCCGCCTGGGGGGTTGGTTGTGCCGGGCAGGGCAGGTTTCTCTGCAGAGGGGCAAGTACGACCATACTGGCAAGGGTTCTGGTGAGCATGGAGGGGAGCAGGTTCTGTCTCCTCCCCCAGGGCCCAGCCCTTCGTGCCACAGGTCAGGGGAGACCTGCGGCGCGGGGAGGGAGATAACCAGTGGTGGCTGCCGGGTAAAGGCGGGTGCTGGGAGGGGTTCCTCCCCCGCTGGGGCTCAGTTGCCCTCACTTCCGGGTGCCTGAGGTCGGCGGGGCGGCGGGAACCCAGATTCCTGTGGCCTCAGGTCGCCGGCCTGCCTGCGGCCACCTTACTGCCGTTAGAAAGGGGCGGGCGGGCGGGCGGCCGCGGTGCAGCGCGGGCGGCCGCTCCTCCGAGCTTGAGGTCCCGCCCCGCCAGTCCCCCGCGGCGTCTCCATGGCGACGCGCTGCGAAGTGCGGCTGCGCAGGGGTGACGGAGCGCGTACGTGGGGGGGGGGGGGGAGGAGCGGTGTTTTGGTTCTAGCCGCTCGCCGTCCTTTCTGGACTGGGTCGTCCGAAAGCTGCTTCTTGTTCCTGCTTTCTTTTCCTTTCCCCTTTCCCAGCCTCGGGTTCTCCTTCTCTCCTTCCTTTCTGCCTGATTCCCCTTTTTTTCTATTGACGTCCCGGGTCCGGGCCATTTTCCGGGCCGGGCACACCGAAGTGCACGGCTCCGGGGGCCCGGTATATGACCCGCCGTCTGGCTGCCCCCCCTCGCTCCCCCCGCCCCATGTGGCCGCGGGGCCGCGGCGGCGCTGCCCACTATGGCCCGGAAAGCAGTTAGCAGGAAGCGGAAAGCGCCGGCCTCGCCGAGAACCGGGAGTGACGCTCAGGGCCCGCAGGTGAGGGCTGCGAGGGTTGCGACTCGGGTGGTAAGGCCGGGGCACCCCGAGCGGGGGATATAAGGTTTGCAGATTGGGGAACCGGTACCGGGATCCAAGGTCTGTAGTTAGGGATGAGATCGGGGGGGGGGGGGAGGTTGAGCCCCGACCTACAGAGTCACGGCTGGGCCATCAGGAGTTCACGGGAGAACAGGGAGGCCGGGTTGAGGAGCTCAAGGGGAACCTCAAAATGGTGCATATGCTGCGTAAGGTCTGCAATCGGAAATGAGGCTTGAGAAACCAGATCTGGGCTTTGGAGGAAAGAACACCGAAGTCGAGGGACATCGGGAACAAACCTCCCAGAAAACTGGGGGATGGGAGAGTGAAGTCCTTACCAGGGCCCCGGGAAGCAGGGATGATTGCGTTTCTGTTATGGGGAGGAGTCTCGCTACGATACACAAGCCCTGAGCTGTGTATCCCAGGTATCATCTCTATACCGCCCCCTTTGGAGGGGAAGACCTTGTTGGACTCGTATTCGGACTTTGATTTCCCGTGCTTCCCACCCCGTTGGTGTCTGAGTTTGGAATTCTACAACTGCCTGGAGCATGGGGCCTCGTGACATGGGGGCGGCCATTGATAGTGCATCCTGGAAGACCTGGGAACCTAAATCTGGCTCCTTGGGCTGCATCCTTCATGCTCTGAGGGGAGTACAGGCTGAGAGGGAGAAGGGGGCTAGGTAGAGATGCAGCCCAGGTTACTATGGTAATCACTCAGCCCAGTCATTCCCTTCCCTATCAAGGATAACTTTTAGGGACTCTGAATCTTTCACTCCTAAAAGGCCTCATAAACCTTTTGTCCTTGTTGGTCTCTGCTTCCATTTCCTTGTCTTTCCATCCCTCCTTTCTCATAGGTAGGTTTGACTATGAGCAGCATCTTTTCTGTGTTGGAAGAGTTAAACTGAATAGTCTGGGTTGAGATTCCTGTTCTTATATTTCTGTTGCATGTAAATCCTTCAGGATGAGTTCTTGGTGATTTCCTTAATACAGTAGGATCCCTTGTTCTGAAGGAAGGTAGCCAAAGCCCTGATTTCTAATATTGCTTTCCACAGTTTGGCTGGGATCACTCCCTTCACAAAAGGAAAAGACTCCCCCCAGTGAAGAGATCCTTAGTGTACTACCTGAAGAACCGAGAAGTCAGGCTACAGAATGAAACCAGCTACTCTCGCGTGTTGCATGGCTATGCAGCACAGCAACTTCCCAGTCTCCTGAAGGAGAGAGAGTTTCATCTTGGGACCCTTAATAAAGTGTTTGCATCTCAGTGGCTGAATCATAGGCAGGTGGTGTGTGGCACAAAATGCAACACGGTAAGTGTCCGGAGGATGCGAACTTTATCCTAGGCCCTGGATATATGGCTCTACATGCTCTAGAACCTCTCATCGCTCATTTCCCCCATCTGTTTCTCTTGGGGGGGAGATTGCTTTACTCTCCTTTACATTTCCTTCTATTTGTTGGTGATTCCTTTCCTCTTTTTTTCTGTTCCTTTTCCAGCTCTACTTTTCTGATAAATCTTTAGAGGAGTCTATTTCTGTAGGCCTCTTGCCAGATAGTTATGCCCGTGCTTCTAGATGTTTTTTTGCTTCATTTTCAAATTGATGTTGCTTTTTAAGTCAGAGGCCTCAAAGGAAAGATGGAGGAAAGACACCTCAGAGGAAAGACTGAGCATCGATACATGATAGGGAAAGCCTGCTAGCCTAAAGGCATATGTAGAAGCATTTGAAATAGCACTTGACAAACATTCACTTTTAGGGAATAGAATCAGAAAGATGTTTATCTTATAAGAATAAGCAGGGAATGTGTGTCTGGTGGTATCTTTCAGGATGTACGTGCTTTCTCTTTGCTCTGTAGTCTCAGAAGAGAAAAATCAGGTGTAAGTAGGAGAATATTTTAATATAGAATGACAGAAGACGGTTATCAGTGAATGAAGGGGAAAATTTATCAGTAAGCTATATAACCAGCACAATTACAGACATGGATAAAAAAAAGTCAGTCTATGATTGGGTATGGTGGATATGATTGGAACAGAATGGCACAAATAGAATGATGTCAGATGACTGACAAGTGAAAAGAGGCAGGGCCTGGCGATGGGAAATGATTCTGAATGAAGTGTGAGATAAGATAAGATGAGGTGTGGCCTAGCTGCTCTCTCCATGTTCACCTCACTCTCAGTGAATAGATAGGTAATGTCATAAATTTACCCTGGACAGAAACATCTTGATTAATTGGAAGAGAGATGGTTGCTGTAAATGAAGAAAGTCTTAAGTACTAGAAGTGTTTTTTTATAAAGGATACTAGAGGCCCGATGCACGAAAGAAATTCCTGCAAGAGTAGTCTCTCCCCTCCCCCCCTGACTGCTGGCACCACCTTCCTTAGCAGCCCTGACTTGGTCCGGAAGGAAGTCCGGTGTGATTAGCATATTATGCTTTTATTATTATAGATAGGCAAAGATTTAAACGTGAGTTTTAAGGAAGGAATTAATACCGTGGTGGTTGGGGCCAAGCTTTCATTTCCTCTTCTGTTGAAGGCTGCTTGTCATACAGAATCGTTTCAAAACTATGTAGTTGCGGCAAGCAAACTTCATTTTTCTAGTCTCAGTGTCACTCGGAATAGAAAGAATATCTTATTTGGAGAAATTAGTTCCATTTTCCACACATACCATTATAGTGTTTTGCCCAGCAAATGTTGCTGAGTTGTAAATTAATCATCATAGTGTCTTGCATCTGGCACTTATTATTTTGAAGGTGAGAATAATAAGTAATAATTTAACCTATTGTTAATATGGACGATTTCTGTCTTCCTATGTCCCCAAGGCCTTAAGTCTGTTTTCTTTTTATTGTTAGGGTTTTTTGTTTTGTTTTGTTTAGTTTCCAGAAGCAAAGCAGGGAACCAGGAACACTGCTTTTCTCTGAAATTTGTGACATTTGGCAAATGATTCCCTTAGCTGGGCCTTTGTTTCCCTCTCTCTAAAATGGATATTACCACTTATCAAGTGCTGATAAGGTGGTGTGGACATCTTGGGAAATACTTCAATTGAAAAATATCTTATTCAAAAATAGTATTAGTGATAGTGAGTCCAAAGTTTTTCCAATGCTCTTGGCAAATTCAAACTTCCCTCAGTTTGAAAGAAAGGAAAATTATTTAAACAATTAGAACTGTCTTTGGATAATATGTGAGAATTTGGGGAGGGGGGGAAGAGTTCAAGTTTGATTCTCAATAGTAAGTTAAGTTTCAATGTCTTGAAATTTTGTCATCAATAAAATGATTTAAATGTATTCAGTAGGAAAAGTATGCCACAACCATTTATATTCTAAAATCACCTATTCATATGTACCTAAGTTTCCTCAGCACTAAACTGAGGGTACACAAATGCTAAAAAGCCAGGTCCTTTCCTAGTTACCTGGCTTGGGGTTATAATATTGAAATCTCTTCTGAGGCAGTGTGTCTTCCTCTGATAAAAGCAGCAGAGATATTTTGTAAAGTTTTCTGTTGCCTGATTCCTGGGGTGGGAATTGCCTTGTGCTATGGAATGACACGCAAACTGGAAGGCCAATAAGCTCAGGAATAATAGCAGAGATGGCCAACCTATGTTGTTGTTGTTTTTTTTTTGTTTTTGTTTTTTTAAATGTTATTGATTTTTTACAGAGAGGAAGGGAGAGAGAGATAGAGAGCTAGAAACGTTGATGAGAGAGAAACATCGACCAGCTGCCTCCTCCACAACCCCTACCGGAGATGTGCCCGCAACCAAGTTACATGCCCTTGACCGGAATCGAACCTGGGACCCCTCAATCCGCAGACCGACGCTCTACCACTGAGCCAAACTGGTTTCAGCTGTTTTAATCATTAATAACATTAGTATGGTCATATTTTTACTAAATTATTTAAAGAAGGAGAGGTAGTATAAACTTAATTGGATCATGGGTCTGACAATAGGATGCGTAGTTATATTTTCCTGGTTTAGGGTTATTAACTCAGATTGTGCACAAAGTCAGAACAGCTAAATAAAAGAAGCCTGCCAGGCACAAAAATAAGTAGTGTAGACGGCAAAGAGCCAAGAAGAAATTCTTGGCTTCCAGCTAGTTGTAGCCATGTAGCAATTTGGGCCTAGCATTAATAGATTTTTGTCCTTTTTAAAGATAAACCTGAAATCTGTATTTTTAAGGGGGAAGATATCAACCATGTACGAGGAAGTATTTCTTTGTAGGCATCTTGGTTAACATCTATTCAGCAGCCAATAGGATTTAATTAAATCTTATTTCTGTATTTTGAGGATGCCTTGTGATTTTTTTTTTTTCCTGTTCTTGGTCTCATTAACAGGCAGAGATTTGGCCTTTTTTGTTTGTTTTGTTTTGTTCATCCTCCCTCAATATTTTTACCATTGATTTTTAGACCATGGAGGAGAGTGAGGGAGAGAGAGAAAGAAACATCAATTGGTTTCTTCCCAAATGCACCCCGACCAAGGCCAGATTTATCTAGCTTGCAGTCAAAGTTAGAATCAAACCTGGATTCTTCATTCTGCATGCCGACACTCAAACCACTGAGCCAATTACTAGGGCATCCCTTTTTTTTTTTTTTTTTTTTTTTTTTAAGGTCAGCCTTCAGTTTCTAAGTTATTGTTTCTTTTCTAGAAAAGCAGTATGTAAACATATATCAGAAATATCTGCATTTATACCAACAAATTTGATTGTTACTTTGTATTGTATATTTGGATTCAGAAATTTGTGGGTTGAATCTGGCTCCCATTTCATATTAGCTTTATGTCCTTGGATAAGTAAGGTACAGTAGAACCTCCATTCTCGAACTTAACTTGTTCCAGAAGGCTGAGAACTGATTTGCTCCCATTAGAAGAACGTAAATTGAATTAATCAGACCCACAAATGATTGCCTTTTTAAACCTTTCTTATATATAATGCATGTCTCATGTACTAGTACTGTTTAATCTATAAACACCCCCTGCTGCCCTTAGAGGGACCACTGCCAGCACTCCTTCCAGGAGTGTCTTTCGGGACTTCTGGATGTAACGCCTTCGCTTTTTCAGGTATCGCGCTGCCTTGGGAATCCTGTCACCAGCTAATTGCTTTTTGTTTATCCTAATCAACCCCTGTTTCTACCTCTTTAGTTGCCTGTGATGTGGTTTGGTGAGCACTTTCATACCTTTGGCAACATTAGCATTCTTGATGGCCTCTTTATGTTTTAAAATTGTGCTAATCTTTGATGCCAGGGACAAAAGCATTGTCTCCTTAGGTGCCCGAGAGGAAGCTTTTTGTCCTGCTGAGGTATCAGCATTGAAAGTGTTGTCAAGTCAAAAAAAAAAAAAAAAGTGTTGTCAAGTCAAAAATCCAAAGTTTCCCCCCACAACCTATTATAGATATTTTTTTTCTGTGAACAACTTGGTTGAAAACTGAATTGTTCGAGATGGGAGATGTTGGAGGTTTGAATGTATATTCTAGGCCTTCTCTTACCTTTAAGATAAATGGAGAAAGTAGCAGAGTTATTGAAAGATTAAAGTTGGTGATGTGCAGGCAGGCTAAATAGCTATCTCAGATGGTGATTTAAGAAAAATTGAATTTAAGGTAAAGGGGTTGAGGGATGGATGGGATATCCAAAGGGAAGGGCTATGCAGAGAAAAGAGGGCCTTTGAGACAGACTCAGGGCCTCAGTCCAGGACGGATGAGCTGCCATTGCCCATTGCTCCCTTAATTTCAAGTCTCACGGATCCTTAGAGGCCAGGGGATATGTGCTTGTGGGGGGAAGGTATAGGCTTGCTCCTTGGAAGGAGGGAGGGCTGGGTCCTTTGTCCTGAGCGTTATTTACTAGTATCTCTTTCTTGCTGGGGAAATCTTAGGGGAGATCTCAGGGGAGGCTCTTAATAGAATATTCATCAACTTTCCAGGTGTTCTGTTTCAGGGTCCTGGTCTCCACTGATTGGACAGTGCCAGGGAGGGTCATTATCAATGTAGGTGGTCCTGAGGCAGTCAACTTGTCTGGTTTTGCTGTTCTTTTGGGTCTGAAGCTCAAATACAACTGAGGCCACGATGTTATCTTTAGGGGGGAAACCTGACCAGTGATGTGCTAGGGGAGGATAGGTTGCCCTCGGGGCCACATTCTTGTTTTCCAAGTTTTGTTCCTGGCTAGGCACTAGGCGCTAGGCTTCAGGGCTTTCTGCTCTGGTGAGTTTTTGTGCCTGGTCCATTGTCCTTGCTCTGGGGGGGTCTAACAGTCCTGAAGAGCATTAATGAGATGTTAGCACAGTGCCTAGAACATGTGCTTAATAAAATTGTTGATGTAGTGGTGGTGGTGAAGGAGGAGG